CCCCCTCGCTCTGTCCCTGCACTCTGCCCGGCCCCGTCGCTCTGTCCATGCGCTCTGCCCGGCCCCCTCGCTCTGTCCCTGCACTCTGCCCGGCCCCGTCGCTCTGTCCCTGCGCTCTGCCCGGCCCCCCCGCTCTGCCCGGCCCCCTCGCCCTGTCCCCGCCCTCTGCCCGGCCCCCCCCCCTCTCCCCGGCCCCCCCAGGCACTTACCTTCGTGGTTATAGAGGTGATTGAACCAGAACTCCAGAGCCCGGACACTGCAGGAAAGGAAACACAAGCAGTGAAGGTGAGAACCCGTGACGCCCCTTTGGCCCAGTTCCTTCCAGATGTTCTGGAAGAAGCAGCACAGCTGGAGGGGGACAGCCGAGCCTGGTGCGGGGCCGTACAGGGGTACAGAACACAATGCAGGGCCAGGGGCTAATGCCCCAGCAGCAAGCTCTGCCTGCAGACACGTGTCTGTGGGGGGCCCCAGCATTAACGAGGCCGCTTTGGTCTAGGGCAGGTGAAGCGCGTCTCTCCCAAGCCCGGCAGGTGTTCCTGGCCAGGCTGCTTTGCTGAGAAGGGGCCAAGCCGCTACACTGCCGAGGGTCTTGTCCCGGGGTCCTGGGCATGCTGCGTGCAGAGCAGCACCAGCGCCAGGACGTGCCAGGATGGAGAGCCCCTTTGCCCGTGATCTGCCAGCCCTTGAGGAGCTGCAGGAGCACAGCGGGCAGCTGCCTGGGCCATGGCTTCCCCCGAGCCTGGCAGAGGGGCTGGGAGACGATGCCAGCACGTTTTATTACCTAACACCGGGCGTTCCCATCCCAGAAGCCCTGCCCCAAACCCAGCCCTGCGGGGACGGGGAGCTCTGTGACTGCTCCTCCTCCTCCCATTGCCTAGTTCCCCTTTGGCGAGTCCCGGGCACGTGGGGCCGACGTTCGCTCCGGGGAGCTGGGGTACCGCACAGCGACCAGGCGGGCGGGGAGGGGCGCCGGCCCCACTCCGCCCACGTCAGCTCTGGGGCAGCGCAGCAACCAGGCGGGCGGGGAGGGGCGCCGGCCCCGCTCTGCCCACGGCGGCTCTG